TTTAACAAATAATTTGATTTTTTTTAACAAAAAAAAAAATTTAAAACACAAAACACGTTTTTTGAAGGAACCTGGCCTTAACTTTTAATTTTAAGTTTCATTCAAATGACTTCCACGACCTCTTTTGCAGGAACGTATTCGATGCACCCAATTTTTGAGTCATTTTTCCACTAAATCAAGTCGTTCAACGTTGACACTTTAAGCTTGAAGATAATTTAGTTTACTGTTAGAGGCCATTAACTTCAAATAAGCCCTCAAGAAGTAGTCTAATGGTATTAAATCACAATTTCTTAGAGGCCATTCAATGTCACAATCTCTTGAATTAATCGAAGTTCCAAACCTTTCCCGCAATAAATCGGTTGTTGCACGTGCTGTTTGACACGTACGAGTAGCCGCCGTCTTGTTGTAACCAGTCGTTGTTGAAGATCTTCTTTTTCAAATTGTGGCCTTAAAAAGTTGGTTACCATCAACCGATACAGCTCTCCATTGAGAGTACCGATGATTCTATCATGAAAGTGAGCCTCATAGGAGAAGAAGTTTCTCTTTAAAAAACTCGTTATCGTTTTCAAGTTGTTCCAAAGCAAAATCAGCAAATTCACAACGTTTATGGCGGTCCAATGGCTTTAGTTCTTATGTAAAAACAATTTTATGCGAATGAAACCAAATATTTTCTCAAAATTCGCCAGGTTGTGGCAGTTCATGACATATTGAAAATGTGCAAAATGACATTTAGAAATCATATCATGCCTATTGGAGAACCCTTTATAATCAGCGAGTGTGTTTGCTTAGCCAATAAATTATGGGTTTAACGCCACCCATGCGAGTATATGAACCTACAATAAAATAAAGGAATAAACAATAATGTCGGAAGTGCTGTGTTATTGGCCATAAATGCGAGAAATGCAATTACAGCACATATTAATTACCGCAGTTTGGTGTAGTAAAATTGTTAATGAGCATTTAAAAAAAAATAACTAAAACATTTTAAATTATTTCTAAATTTTTTTTGTACTTGAATAATGTTTAGTGTAATTTTTTATCTTATTTCAGCACAAAAATAAGCGAGCGATGAATAGGCAAAAATTGGCGGAGCTTGGTTGGAAGGTTTCGATCTACCCACCTTATAGTCCGAACCTTGCACTATTTGTTTTGATCTTTGTAAAATTCGCTTGATGGTTACAAAATTGGCCAGCCATAGAGCCGCCAAAAATTATTTTTCTAAGCTCTTCGCCCATGAAACACAGAAGCTCTGCACTGACGGTATAATGAAACTACCCGAAATTGATAAAAATTGTCAAAATGTACTTGATTAAAATCATATTTCTAAAAACAAAAATTTTGTTCCAAAATATACAAAAAAAAGTGGAGATTTTTTAAATTGGCAACATTTTTTGGAGAGACGAAACCAGTTTTATACCAGGTTTGAATGGCTTACGTGTTGGAGGCTCTTGTCCATTGCCGTTTAGTTGGTTTTCAGCAGAGCAATTATTATTCGAACTTCATCATAGGGTGCGGTAGCCGAGTGGTAAGCATTGCGTACGCAATGCCCAGGTTCAAATCCTGGTGTCGTATTAACGTCCAAAAACTTATAGAAAATTTATTTAAAAAAAATATCAATGGAAAAACAACATGACGCAAAACTACGAATTGGTGGAGGAGCTTTGGCAGTTATCAAGCGACAATTATTATATGTATTGTATATATATATATACATATTTATGTAACCATTAAAAATTCGTTAATAACATTTAAAATTAAAAATATGACTAAAAGAAAATACTAAAATTTATTCATGATTAACATCGATTGCTCCTGTTTGGCTCTAATTGTAGTGATACAACTACAAATCTTCATAATTTCGTGATTTCTTCAATTCTAACTTATTCAAAAATTCCACCAAAAACATTTCGACTAAGCCAGATGCTTGAATTTCAAGAGCGCCAACTTGCAAATTCCATTACCTCCCGCCCGTTGTGAATATTGAGCGCACCTATCTACCATTCCATTTCTCACCACCAACGGCATGTTGCAGAAACATATGTTGTGACATATTCGTCTTACGAAATGTCAAACTGTTATACAAAGAAATGGAAAGAGCAACAAAAACATAAATAAACAAAAGTATTTCACAAACGTGAGAAATAGAGAAAGAGAGAGAGGTAAAAAATATATGGGTATAACAAAATTTTAAAAGAGAGCAACTCATAAACATATGGTACCTACAATAAAAAAACAACTTTATATACTAAGGTGTAACTAAGGGTGCTTGGGGTTCAGTTATTATTTCAATAATTCCCGTTGTATAACGTATTTTGTTTTGTTTTTTTTTTTTTTCGAAAGGGAGAATTGTCTTGGGGTAAAATGAAACTTAATTATAGCCAAAGGTGAGAAAATCTATAGATAATGAGTAGGTACAAAAACAAAGTAAAATCAACAGAGAGTTATTTGGTAGAGAGCACAAAATGTGACAGCTATGAAAATTAAATGTAGCTCTGAGATACATTTTGTTTACACAACGTAGACGTTATTGAGCAGCGTGAAACAGCAATAAAAAGATGAGCGTTAGCTAAGAGCAAAATAAATAACGCAGGTAATAAATATGTATGTATGTAGATATATGTACACTAAAACCGAATGCTGCGGTGTATTATTAAATAAATAAAAGTAAAAACTTAAAGCTTAGGTACATATGTACGGACATACATATGTATGTATGTACATCCGCACTCTCAACGCGAAATAAAAATCCATGAATCAACAAAGCGCCGAATGAACGCCGCCGTACATGTTCGTTTTCGCCAAACACGAGCAGGCTAGCTGCGCTGAGCAAGTGTATGTCTGAGAAGGTGAGCGCAGCAGCAGCGAAGGCCGTTGCGAGTTACGAACTAGTTGGTTGCTTATGCTGGTATGGCGGTGGGAGTGGAGCAAAGTGGGCGAGTAGCGCAATAGCGCTGCCGCAGACATAGCGGCAGCAGCAGCAGCAGCGGCAGCAACAGAAGCAACAACAACAGCAGTAAAATAACGCTGAAATTCATCGTTGGCCATACGATTACTGGCGTGTTAAAAATATTCAGTCGAAAAGTTACTCTTTTAGCGTATGGCTGCTTCGTAAATAAATTCGTTGAACGTAAAGAAAACAGAAGAAACACAGTTAAAACGCATTTGAAGCTAACAAAAAAAAAATAAGGAAAATTTAAACGATACTACAAAAAGCAGTTCGGTGCAAAGTGTTGCTAGTGATTTTAAAATTCCAAAAATATAAATCAACAAAATCACAGCGCTGTAAATTTGAAAGGCAAATTTTGCAAATTTACACTGTTAAAAAATTTAACAGTAATACCAGCAAAATAAAAAAGCAGCTGCAACCGTGTAGAATTTAGTAATGAAAAGTCGATCTCCATTGATACGTGCTGCCGAGCAATAACAACAATGGCGCATATGCATAAGTATCTGTAGCGATTGAGCGAGCGTAAGCGTTATACGCGAAGTGCTATTATCTCAAGTGTGTGGTGAAGAGCGTAAAGCGGCAATAAAATGATGAAAATAAAAATTATTTAAAAAGTGAGCGCAGCAGATTGTATTCGCTTCGTTTCACCAAGCGAATACATATGTACATACATACATACATATTGGCGAATAAGTGTTTCGCTTGTGGCATAGGTGCAGGAAAAAAAGTAGCAGAGAAAAATATTTGTTATTAAAAGTTATTTGCATGGCAGTGTGAAACGAATCTTAAAAATTTCCATACAATAGAATTTAAAGTGTTTCTTCAAACGCTACAAAAAAAGTGGAAATAATAATAAATAAAATTTACAAATAAAATTACAACAAAATTTCATTTGCGGTTCAAAAAAAAAAAAACGCCCAACAAGGCAAACGAATAACAATACATATTCGCAAAATTCGTCAGCGCTGCTCTGCCGCTGAGCTTTTGTGCGCGCCAGTTGTCGCCACCGTAGTACAGGTGCAAGTCCACTGTGCGTGCGTGTGCATAACAAATACAGAAATGAAAAATTGAAAAAAAGTGTATTTAAATTTTTGCAATTGTGTTGTATGCGTGTGTGTTTGCATAGAAGTCGGCAGCGCGAAATAAGTAAAAAGAAAAATAAAATAACCAGCGCTACAGCAAGCAGCAAGCAACCAGTCAAGTCAAGTTAAGTCAGCCAACTCATGGCTGTAAGCAGCAACGACTAATGCTCGAATACGACGATCGTATCAAAAAAAATTATATTGCCCAATTTGTGTATTGCTTCATCCCAAGCGTCGTCGGGCATAGAAGTAGCTAAAATCGAGTTAAATGTAAAACCGATTGCTTAGCCATGCTAAATATTGTTAGTTACTAGCTAGCGTGTTCGCGTTTTGAAAGTATCTTATAGATACTATACATACTATACACATACATACGTGCATATATGTCAATATTTAATTTTTTCTGCTTTTGCGAAATCTCAACAGTGTTTTTCTTTCGTCTGCATCCTCCACAACTTCTTGGTCCGTTTTTTTTTTTTGATTTTATCGATAAAACGGCTGTAAATTGAAATTGTATTAAAGCTTACACGCAATACATATACATATATTTATATGTATAAAAGTTACACAGAAAGCGATGTAAAAAATATAGAAAGTGAGGTGAGTGCCGCCCAAAACAAGTTTTCGGTATGTAAATAGCCCCCACGCGCATAAGTGTAGATTTGTGTGTGTATGTGCGTGTGTGCGTGCGCTTTGCGAAGAAAGTGCTAAACAAAACAAAAGCGCAAATAAAAGACAATGGAAAGTCAAGAAAAAGAAAATAGTTTTGGTGTGCTCAGAAAATGAGGTGAAAATCAATGCAAAGTGCAGAGAGAAAGCGTTTTTGCAACACCCATGAGTGGCAAACAAAGCAGATAAAGTGAAAAACCTCAACGACGTGAAAAGAAAAAAATTATTGTACGGGGTCAAGTAAAATTTTGTAGAGCAAAGTAAGAAAAATATTGAAAATTGTGTTAAAAAAATTGTTTTGAAAAAGTAAAGAAAAAATTAATAAATCGCATTAAAATTCTAACAAAAAAAAAAAAAAAATAATAATAAGAAAATTTGAGTGTAAATCAGTACATTTTATTGATCTTAATGTGCTAAAAGAAATATAAAAATATTTGAGAATACTAAGAAAAGCCCAGTGATTCAAACTAGTTTTTTAAAAAAGCTTGTATAAATTTAAAAATATAAGTTATAACAGACACACAGCTGCATAAAATATATACAAATTTAATTCGAAAAAATTAAACATTTCTAAAGTGTTGAACACGTACTTATAGCTGGATACTAAATATATAAATATTTGTAATTAGTTGACTTTAATCACTTGACAGCGTTTAAAACAAACACGAATAGGCAGTTAACAACTTTGGATTATTACTTGAAAAAGGTAGGATTGATTGAAAAAATTATTAACCCACTAAAGAGCGTTTGAAGAATCAGAAAAAAATTCTATCCATACAAAACTAACTTAAAAACATTAATTTAGTACCTGTATAGATATATATGTATATTTATATTTTCGAAATATTATCTACATAAACACAAAATTATAAAAACAAGGATGTCATCTTAAAAAAAAATCAAAAAATAAATAGAAAAAATTTGAGAAATAAAAAATTAAAGAAAAAATTTTAGAAAGACAAAATTAAAGAAAAAATTTAGGAAAACAAAATTGATGATATAAAAAGAAAAACTTTGAGGAAAACAAAATTTAATAAAAAATATTGAAATACAAAATTGAAGAAATAAAAAGAAAAAAAATTTAAAAATCAAAATTGAAGAATTAAAATTGAAGAAAAAATATTGAAATACAAAATTGAGGAAATAAATAGAAAAAATTTGAGAAAAACAAAATTAGAGAAAAAGTATTATTGAAACACAAAATTGAAGAAATAAAAAGAAAAAAAAAAAAATAATAAAGATTAAAGAAATAAGAGAAAAAAATTGTAAATACATACATATGTATATAAATATATTTATAAAATTGACGAAAAATATATTGAAATACAAAATTAAAGATATAAAAAAAATTGTATTTCAAGATTGAAGAAATAATAGGAAAAATATAAAACTGACAAAATTAAAAGAGAAAATTTTGAATAAATACCTACGAAACGTAAGAAAATAAACCCAAATATTTGCACTTAAGTACCCATTTTCCGCGGCCATAGTAGCCGAGTAGGAAGCAGTGCGTGCTACCATGCTGCTGCTGCTGCTGCTGCTGCTGCTGCTGCTGCTGCTGCTGCTGCTGCTGCTACTGTTGTTGTTGGTGTTGTTGTTGTTGTTGTTGTGGCAACAGCAAAAATATCCCTCAAAATACTTTTAGGGGAATGTTGCGGGAGTGATACTCCTTGGTCGGATAAAAATCAGTGTCGTTCCGGTATAAAGACCCCGCTGTCACGGGAACTATTGGAACTATTTGCCACTAACGACCTCTAACCAATAGGGGTATGCGTGCTACCCTGCAGAGGATCATTTACTCAATCACTCATCAGATCAACAGCCAAAGGGGTATAGAAGATCATTGCCATGGAGTATATTTCTGATATGAAATAAAACCTCTTTATGAAATGCCATTAGCCGTTTGAAGGCGGCTTAGAATAAACTCTAGGTACCTCCATTTTACGCGCGATGCCGCACACTCCGAAACGGTGGAAAAGTTCTGCCGAAAATGGCTTCAGCTTTTATAAACCGTAATTTTTTCTTTAGATTAACAAAATTCAATTGAAAATTCTAAAATCTCCTTTATCTCTCTCTACCGCTTCAAGAGTGAGTCAATACCTTTTTTTGGTGTGTTTGAGTTTCGCATGTGATTTCATTATGCTTTATCTTATTGTTTCTTACTTCACTTACTTCACTTACTTACCAACTAAATGCAACAATATTTTTTAATTTTTATTTATTCTTCTTGCTTGCTCTGTGCTTTATTTCGACGTCACCATAAACCCAAGCTTAGCTATTGAAAAATTTTTTCTTCTGTTTTTTATTTTATTTTTTATTTTTTATTTTAATGAAGGTTTATTTTCCAAGTTTTTCACCGTAAATTTTAGCTTTTAATGAACTCGTTTGCGTAAAAGAGCTGTAAAGCTTGCATTGATTGAGAACAACTCGTTTTATAATTTGAATATTTTTCGCACTTAAAATGCAGCTCCATCACTCCTTTAAGGGCGGGTAGGGTTCACGAAGAAACATTTTACAGTTCTTTGAAGCCGTCTGGTCAATTTGGGTTGTTTAAAAATTTGCTGCGATATACAAATAGTATCATATATATGTATATGTATGTATATTGAAAGCACCGCTCGATTTTCGATGACGCTATACATATACGAATATTACGCCAAAACTGGTTGTTGATTAGTAATTTTTTCGTATTCGCTTTAGCATTTTTCTTGACGTTGTTTGGCTGAATTTATCGTTAGTTTCTCGGTCGTTATTTGGTTTGTTTTTTCTTGTTTTTTTTTTTTTATATTTAAACTTTATATATGTCGAAAGATCTCGAATTTTCTATTTTTATTTCAAGTTGTGTCGTACAAATAAACGCAAGTTATGCTATCAATCGAAAATCGCCATTAATTTTTTCTTCGCTTGAAATCTTTTTATAAATTTTCTCTACTTTGACTACTTCGTGACTAAGATAACAGTGTTGAGCTGCAGTTATTTGGAAATTTTAATACACATCGATACACGTGATATCCCCAAGCACTTGCCTAGTTCTACTAAAGTCATGAGTCGGCAATTGGTTTATCCACAGAATCTAAGCGATTCGCTTAATTACCTGTCGTTTTTTTAGGTTTCTAGCCAAGCACTTAGTACAGACAGTGCTATTTTAAGCTCTGATAAGTAAACAGGTTAATAAGTGGACACGCCTCAAACGTAAATGAACTGTTTGAGTTCTAACAGCTTCTGTTCTCTATACTTAAGGTCAATTATAAGTTTATTGGCCGCGATAAATTGTATGCTATTCGATTTTATTTCTAATAATAAATAATAGTTAATGGAAAAAGGGATTTACTTGGTCGCGTACTAATTCGTAGTTTATTTAATTATAATTATTAATTAGCCACATTAAATTTAAGCGCAAGATAACATCACAGCACGTGGGAGTTTGGGCATAAAAGAGGCTAAAATAGCAATAAAACAAGAAAAAAGTTTTTATAGTTTTCATGAACTTATCAAATTTGTTGGAAAATGTTAGGCTTGATTTCGAAGATTTTTAATAGCGATATTTATTTGAATTTACGTGGGTAGAATGTCAATTTTCTAGCTTATTTTTGAACTAAAACCATATATGTATAACATATATATACATATATATTATAAATATATATATATACAAAAAGCACTTTCTAACCGCTGAAGATATTTCCGGCCGAGCTCGTCCTCCAATTTGTGGTTCTGCGTCTGAACGTTTTTCCAACAAATGGAGGGACCTACAGCTTGTACCAAGCCGCCTCCTAGGAGCTTTTGATTTTCATGTCAGAAAAACACTCGGAGAGGTTGAAATTCTCTGCCGAGTGGCGTCCGCTTTTAGAAAATTTTATTTATATATTTTTTATTTTTTTTTATTTAAATTAATTTTCTATAACTTTTGGATGTTGGTCGTACCAGGATTTGTACACAGACCTTCCAAATGACAGTAAAACAATGCTAACCACGCGGCTACCGCGGCCGAAAAAATCTGAAGAAATCATTTACATGGCAGCTCTATGGTTTGGTCCTCCAATTTCGATAATTTTCAATGCCGATGTTGGTTTGAAAATACAAAATATGAATGATCATGCCTTTTGTCGGATTTTCGACCCGAACCCTCATATCTGAACAAATAAGTCGCTTATAACGGGTGAATTTTTAGCTATTATATTTTTGGCAACACTGGTTTGAACAGCTGAGGCACGTTTCGTTGTTGTTGTTGTTGTGGAGTTCGCTAACCCCGCTTAGGTTCAGGTTTGATTAATCTATGTCGCCGAGGTCATCTGCTGGTAGGTCCAGGAAACGAGCTGTTTCGACGGGATTGGACCAAAGAGAGAGGAAGGGTTAGATGAGTCGGCTTAGAGGGGATTGTGAAGAAGTGGTTAGTATCGTGCGGAGATTCTCCCCATGCAGGGCATGCGTTGGAAATGTTGGGGTCGAGTTTGGATAAGTAGGAGTTTAGCCTGCTACAGTATCCAGGCTTGAGTTGTGCCAAGGTCACGCGGGTCTCTCGAGACAGCTCGAGCTCGTTGTCTGCTGTGGATGGTGATTTTACTCCGAGCACGTCATTTACTAGAAAGTAGTCTTTGAAGGTGTTGACTAACTCCTGGTGAATGGCGTTCAGTGCTTTGTCTGTCCTGCGGTTGTTGCAAATGTTGCTGGATTGTGTCCTTCAGATCTAGCACTCCCTTTCTGATGTGCCTAGGTGGAGGTTCAGATTCTTTTAGGTGCCTATTGGGTTGCTCCCTGCGGTAACATCCCAATTCGTTAAATCTAATGTCTTTACATACAAAGCCCGCTTCAATTGACGCATTTGAAGACAACATTTACGCATTTATTCCTAAGATACCGGCCAAAATGTTGGAAAGAGTATGCCGAAATTGAACTAAGCATATGGACCATTTGAGGAGCAGTAACAGTCAACATTTGCTTGAAAAACTTTCCTATAGCTTCTAAAAAAAATCACCCTTTACATATTATATGCTTTAGTCATCTTATCTGGTCGGTACCGACCAATGATTGTGTGGAAATATTAAAAAAAAAAACTGAGGATTCAGTTTGCGCACGAAAATAGACGGAGTGAAGGACGGAAGCACATGACTAAATCAAGTCTACTCATCATTATTACGCGATCGGTATAAATGTTGATAGGTTTATCTCTTCTCACTCTGTTGCTTACATACTTCAGATCGAAGTTAACACACAATTTCATAGATTTGTATAAGTTGAGTTGAGTGGTTGTGGCCTATGTCACATTCTCAAATGTTCGAGCCATTTCGTATGCCTTGCTAAAGCTAGCTCAGCAGGAGATGCCCGAGGAAGTTGTGTTACGCAGGTTTCAAGTGATAGTGACAGGTCCCTTCTACGTCCCTACAGTACAGTACAGTTCTTCTCCCGCGAAGTTCAATTAAACAGCAATCTGCTGTTGGATAACGGGTCTAGAAGGATATGATGTTTTGATTTTTTCGCGTCTAACTTTGGCTATAGTTGTCTGGTCGCCTTGCGCGTCATTTTATTCAGCGATATAGATTTTGATTATTTTGTCAAAGGCCGGTTTTAGCTGCTGCCATGCAATTGCCTGGGATGTCACTGTGTCTTGGTACCCAGACCACAGCGGTGTTGCATTTTGTCGAAATAAATAAATAAATAAAAATTTAATTTAATATAAAAAGGAGTGAGTAGTGGCTATTAAATATA